CAGCCTGAGCCACCGAGCCTGGCTAATTATTATTATTTTTTCAATTCGTAGAGGTGAGCTCTCACCAAGTTGCTCAGGCAGGTTCAGGCAATCTTCTCACCTCCATCTTCCAAAGTGCTGGGACTACAGGCATGAACCACCACACCCGGTCCCCATTCTGATCTTAACCAACCTCTTCGCAAGAGCTGAGTCTGCTGACCCTGCCACCCTCTTGACACCCTTTGTGCCTTTGGTTTCTGTGGGGCCACCAAACTCTGGGTGTCCTCCTGCCTCTTGGCCACTCCTATCCATCTCCTCCATGGGCTCCTCCTCTCCATCCCCTGATGAGAGGTGGTCTATCTCAGAGCTCTATCCTTGGGCACCATCACTGACTGCAAATTGATGACTTCTAATCTGCAATTCTGGTGCAGACCACATTTGGAGGCCCTGATGTCTACCGGACAGAGGTTCCTTAATAACTCGCACGTACTTGGAGCTCAATTCCAGCCCAAATTACTCAAAACAGAACTCACCCTCCCCTCCAAACTCGCTCATGCATTGCTTTGCATGGTAAATAGCCCCACAACCCATCTAAGCCAGAATTCAACTTTTTTTTTTTTCAGTCGGTCGGAGTTTCACTCTGTTGCCCAGGCTGGAGTGCAGTGGCATGCTCACAGCCACCACAGCCTCAACCTGCTGGGCTCAGGAGATCCTTCCACCTCAGCCTTCCAAGTAGCTGGAACTACAGGCATGCGCCACCAAGCCCAGCTAATTTTTGATTTATTATCGCCAAGTTGCCCAGGCTGGTCTCGAACCCCTGGGCTCAGGCAATCCTCTTGCCTCAGCCTCCCAAAGTCAGAATCCAACTATTAATCCTTCATTTTCCCTTCCACTCATTCGCCCTCTATATACCCTGATTGCTCTCTAAATTCTGAAGATCACACCTTCTAACACCTAACGCCTGTTCTTAGTCCTCACTGGCACTGCCTTAACTCAGGCCGTTATCTCGTCACCCAGTTCCCACAATTTCATACACTTCTCCCTGGTCTGTCAGCCTTTACTCCCAATTCATCTTTAACGTGAGGATGTTCTAAAATGCAGATCTGATGAAGTCACTGCTTAAACTTTTTCAGTGACAGTCCATCACTGTGGTGATAGAGTTTGCCCTCAGGAGCTTCCTGCTGTAGACGCAAGCTGTGCCTTCTTCACCTCACAGTCTCAGGTCTTGTCGTCGAGCCACAGGGACCTCAGTTTCTCAGCTGTGTATAACACGAAGTTCCCTGTACATAACACGCTGTTCCCACTGCATGCTGGAAGTACTTCTCTGATGACACCTGTCAGCACTGGACTTGACTTCCCTCACTGAACTCTAAACTCTGTAGGAGCAGACTCCGTCATAGGCATTTTTGTGTCTTCAGAACCTCATATAATTATTTATTGAATAATTAAATTATTTTGCCACACAGATATGTGTGTGTGTGTGTGTGTATACTCATGTATGTAGCATATTTGGAGGCATAGAGGAATAGGAGTTAACATTTGTTGATTTGGCCAGGCAGGGTGGCTTACACCTGTAATCCTAGCACTTTGGGAGGCCAAGGTGAGAGGACTGCTTGAGCCCAGGAGTTCAAGACCAGCTTAGGCAACAAAGTAAGACCTCGTCTCTACAAATAACAGAAAAAATTATCTGAGCACGGTGGCATGTGCCTGTAGTCCCAGCTACTCAGGAGGCTGAGGCGGAAGGATCACTTGAGCTCAGGAAGTAGAGGCTGTGGTGGGCCATGACCATGCCACTATACTCCAGCCAGGGAATGTGCTACATACTGTACACACATTTATATTATTATTAGTTTCTTTTTTTCACGTCGGAGTCTCACACTGTCACCCAGGCTGGAGTGCAGTGGCACAGTCATGGTTACTGCAGCCTTGACCAGCTGGGCCCATTCAGTTCTTCCGCCTCAACCTTCCAAGTAGCTGGAACCACAGTTGCACATCACCACACCTGGCTAATTTTATTTTATTTTTTTGAGTGGGAGTCTCACTCTGTTGCCCAGGCTGGAGTGCAGTGGCATGCTCACAGCCACTGCAGCCTAGACCTGCTGGGTTCAGGTGATCCCTTCGCCTCAGCCTTCCAAGTATCTGGAACCACAGGCATGCGCCACCATGCCCCGCTGGGTTTTTGTTTTGTTTTTGTAGAGATGAGTTCTCACCCAGTTTCCCAAGCTACTCTTGAACCCCTGAGCTTAGGCAATCCTCTCACCTCGGCCTCCCAAAGTGCTGGGATTACAGGCTTGAACCGCCACATCCAGCCTTTTTTTTTTTTTTTAAATTGTAGGGATGCAGCCTTGCCAAGTTGCCCAGGCTGGTCTCAAACTCCTTGGCTCAGGCAATCCTCTCGCCTTGGCCTCCCGAAGTACTGGGATTACAGGCATGCACCACCACACCCGGCTAGATTATAATTTTCATTTTGTGAAAAGGCTGAGGCTCAATTCACAGTTAGTCGGTGTTAAAGCTGTGATTTGAGCCTAGGCTTCTCTGATTCCAACCCCTGGGATTTTTCGTCATCCCACTGCCTCCCCAACTACCAGAAAGGAACACTAGTTGCTGTATCATAGGGATTTCCTTGATTTCTGTTAGACTGAGAAAACCGTTCGTTTGTCATGACACAGCTTTCTGAAGAATACAAAGTCCACTTGATTTTTAATGTTTTCTTTCCCAGTTCATCTTTTAAAAGAACTTACACCTGCTTGACAAGGATTCCACAAAGATTAACAATATATGTTCTAGGAAGGATCCCAGCTGCCACCAAGGAGATGCGCTTTTTAGTCACAGAATATATACTTTGTACAGTTCTTAATTATTTAATCTTCTGCAAAAACTGTGGATTCCACAGAGCCTGTGAATTGTAGTGGGAAAACATGTACCAAATATGCTCATGGATATTGGGACTTCTTTTAATTGTGGGAACGGAAGAGAGGGTAATGGAAAAAAGAATTCTGCCTGGACACTCAGGAGAAAAATTCTGCTGAGGAACGGACAGAGCAAGATTACGATGGACCCCCCAAGGAGCAAATGGAGTCACTTTGACTTCCACTCAGGCTGGGCACGGTGGCTCACGCCTATAATCCCAGCACTCTGGGAGGCTGAGGTGAGAGGCTTGCCTGAGCCCACGGGTTCGAGACCCGCCTGGACAACTTGGCGAAACCTCATCTCTACAATAAATCAAAAATTAGCCAGGCATGGTGGCGCATGCCTGTAGTCCCAACTACTTGGAAGGCTGAGGTGGAAGAGTTGCTTGAGCCCAGTAGGTCGAGGCTGTGGTGGCTGTGAGCATGCCACTGCACTCCAGCCTGGGCGATGGAGTGAGACTCCAACTCAAAAAAACAAAGCAGGGGACTGGACTTCCACTCTAGAAGTTTTACTGGGGCTGAAGTGCAGCCATCAATACTTCTCAATAGTTCCCATACATTCTCAACAGCACTCTCCCTCCTAAAGTGTGTCACCAGAGCTAGCCGGTGTCTTAGAACTGTCACCTTTACTGATTATTTTCACTTACCCTTCCTGGTGTGGGGTCCCAAGACCACACCGCTCCTTCGCCAATGGCCCTTTCCCAGAATAAGTTCAGCTGATTGTCCACCTCTCACCTTCTCCTTGAACTCCACCACAAGGAAGTAGCTGAGAGAATGAGCCGGTTACAACATCTACCATCTCATTGGCCAGCAGGGAAAATGTACTGGTCTAGCTGGAGAAAGTTTTGCTTTCATTAACAAGTATTTAATGAGTCCTCAGTGGAGTCGGAGGGCCTTCCCTCGTAGAGAAAGGTCACCCTTTGGCCAACAGTCTTTGGGTAGCTGCCTTCCTTGCTGGAGCCTATAAACACGCCCTACCTAGACACCTCTTTGCATCGGGGTCTTACTCTGTTGTCCAGGAGTGCAGTGGCATAGTCGCAGCAATGCAGCCTCGACCTCCAGGACTCGGGCAATTCTTTCGCCCCAGCCTCAGTAGCTAGGACTACAGGCATGTGCCACCATGCCTGGCTAATTTTTTTTTTTTTTGTAAAGATGAGATCTCGCTGTGTTTCCCAGGCTGGTCTCAAACTCCTTGGCTCAAGCAATCCTCCTATCTCGGCCTCCTAAAGTGCTGGGATTACAGGTATAAGCCACCGTGCCCAGCCTGGATACCTTTTAAGGTATAATTAGAAGAGGAATACCAAATGACATCATTATCAGAGTCCTGAGAGTTTGTTGAGTACATAGAGAGCCAAACAGGTTGGCACTTACTCATTGAGAAGGTTTTGTTTGTTTGTTTGTCTATGTTTTGACTCGGAGCATTTTGATGTGTCTAATTTCAGCTCTATGAGATCCCCTATTCCTAATTCCCTCTCCTACCACAGATCAGCATTCCAAGATTAGAGAGTTGGCCAGAAGGTAAGGATGTCTACTTCACACATTATTTAATTGGTGTCTCACTCTGAGGCCCAGCCTGGAGTGCAGTGGCACACTCACGGTCACTGCAGCCTCAACCTGCTGGACTCAGGCGATCCTTCCACATCAGCCTACCAAGTAGCTGGAACTGCAGGCACAGGCCACCATGCCTGGCTAATTTTCTGATTTATTGTAGAGACGAGGTCTCACCAAGTTGCCCAGGCTGCTCTCGAACCCATGGCTCAGGCAACCCTCTCACCTCGGCCTCCCATAGTACTGGGATTATAGGTGTGAGTCACCGTGCCTGGCCCCTATTTTGTTATTTAAAGGGACGTAAGACTGATGATTTTTTGTTTGGGAGGACGACAGAGGAGGGGGAACAGGTCAGATGCCCCTAATAGTTAAGTGTCCGTGCCAAAACCTACCTTGTTGTTCAAAGGAGTCATCATCGAAAGAGCCAGCAAAGCCACCTTCTTTAGGGACCTGAAAGCTGTCCTCAGCCTCAAGAAGGAGCAAAACACAGCTGGGAGGGAGCGTGTAAGAGGACAGCCATACGGCCTCCTGACCGTGAGCCACGGAATACGAACCCCTAGTTACCTGAAGGCAGCACCGTGAGCACCATCCGCTGCGACTCGTCGGAGGCTTGGCTGACCCACTTGCTTGGCTGCCCGTGGAGCTGCCACTCTGCCACCCTGCACCAGTACCTTCCCGCATCTTCCATCTCCACCCGAGGAAGCTTCAGGACAAAGTCTGTAGGGGATGAACGGTAAGAGTGCAGGCGCCCACGGAGTCCCTCGTCGCCGAACGCCAGCAGGCCGTCGTGCTGGAGGTGCACCAGCGTGTTCCTTCCAGAGTCTTCTCCGCTCCGATACCACACCACAGAGTACAGGGAGGCCGGGCCGCCGGAGCCCTCCACGCTGCAGTGGATGGCCACTTCTCCGTGCTCGGTAACGTTTTCTGTCCAGTACACTCTGGAGACACGTACCTTCCTTCCTAGAAAGTCAAAGGGTGGTATGCGAGAAAAGAAAGCGGAGTTTTAGAGCGGATACGGCCCCTGAGCCACCCGGTTCTCCCTGGGGAGATCCATCTTCTATGATGCGTGTGAGGATCTCCGCGTCAGTTGCAGGCGGGTGGAGTTTGGACTTCGTGGGCCGTCTTTCCGCCTGAGGGTGGACCGGGCACCCCCTTCACGACCCCTCCCCAACCTTGTGCTCATGTGGCCAGCCATCTTCTGTTCTTCAGACATCAGATCATCCGTTCTCATCCTGGATCCCTGTTTTTCTTGTTTATTTGCCAGAACATTCTTTGCTATGAATCAAGCTTTGCTTCTTTAGAGGGAGACTTGCTCCCTCTTGCCTGCTGGGTCCTGTAGGATCCCCTGCCCCAGCCCCCAGCGTCGGTGGGGCCCTCTTCCTTGCCGCTTCTACTTCTCCTAGATTCGCTCCTCGTCTGCTGCCCAGAGGGGCTGTTCAAAACTCTCAGCACCCCCCTGAAGCTATGCAGTTCATCGCTCTCACTCTTAGCCAAGGAGCCCCCCCTCAAATGCACAGATATTATCTCGAGAAAGATGCAGAGAGAGAAGAGGCTGGCTGACAGACTAAGCTTTCTTTTCTTTTTTTTTTGAGTCGGAGTCTCACTCTGTCACTCAGGCTGGCGTACAGTGGCATGATCATGGTTCACTGTGGCCTCAACCTCCTGGGCTCAGGTTCCACCTCAGCCTCCCGAGTAGCTGGGACTACAGGTGTGCACCCCCATGCCCAGCTATTTTTTTTTTTTTCTTCAAAATGACATCTCACTATGTTGCCCAAGCTGGTCTTGAACACCTGGGCTCAAGCCATTCTTCCACCTTGGCCTCCCAAAGTGCTGGGATGACAGGCATGAGCCACCACGCATGGACCAGACTGATCGTTTTGATGCAAGTGTTGGAATACAACTCGAGGGAACTATTTACATTATTGGATTAGACTAAGTTTTAAACAGATTTTGACATTTATTCCCTCTCCCTCCCCCACCCCCGCCTTAACCAGCAGGTGAAGACTTGGGATAACAGCCAGAGTTGTTATAAACAAAATAAAGCAAGTATAGTGTGCATGAAATTTCCATCTCCACTATAAAACACATGTATTAATCTATCTTTAAAAGAACAATGCCCAGCCAGGCTCGGTGGCTCAGCCTGTCATCCCGCACCTTGTGAGGCTGAGGTGAGTGGATTGCCTGAGCCCGCGGGTTCGAGACCCGCCTGGGCAACTTGGCGAGACCTCATCTCTACAATAAATCAAGAAAATTAGCCGGGTGTGGTAGCGCACACCTGTAGTTCCAGTTACTTGGAAGGCTGAGATGGAAGGATCACTGGAGCCCAGCAGGCGAGGCTGCAGTGGCCAGGAGCAGCCACTGCACTCCAGTCTGGGCGACAGAGTGAGGCTCCAACTCAAAAAACAAAAGAAAAATGCCCAATCTTGGACCTTTATAACTTGCCATCTCTACTCTTCCCCTTCCTTTGTGGGGAAGCATCTGAAATATTAGCTGACAGCATAACAGTCACTCCTTCCTCCCCTGAAATGACTTCCTGCTTGATTGCATTCCGGCTTCCAACTCCATCGCTATTCTTGGCCAGGGCCCAATTTCCCAACTCGAGAGACCCTCCAGTCTTTCTCTGTCTTCTGTGGTTTTTATCACTGGTGTCTGTTTTCTTCTTGAAATTCTCCCCTCCTTTGACCAGGGGGAAATACCCCTTCTACAATTCTGACCAGTCCTTCTCAGCATCTTTCTGGGGCTTCTCTCTTATCCCCCAAATGGGCTGCTCAACTGGAAGCCCACAATCAGACCTAGCCCTGTTCTCTTTGACACCCTCAGTACTTTAACAGGATTTGGATGAGTTGCAAATGGTCTCAAATTGGGAGGTTCAGTGGAAAAGATCTTAGGCAACCCTAGATATGCGAAAAGATCTGAGAATGCTGAGCCCACATTTCTCCTTCCCTCCTTCCCTTCCTAACTTCCTTCCTTCTTTCTTTCTTTTGAGTCGAGTCTCACTCTATCACCCAGGCTGGGGAGTGCAGTGTCATGCTCTCAACCCGCTGAGCTCAGGCAATCCTTCCACCTCAGCCTTCCAAGTAGCCCGACCACCATGCCCGGCTAATTTTTTGACTTATAGAGACAAGGTCTTGCCAAGTTGCCCAGGCTGGTCTCGAACAGCCTCCCAACATACTGGGATTACAGGCGTGAGCCTCTGTGCCCTGCACAGAGCCCTTTTTTTTTTGTTTTTTTTTGAGTTGGAGTCTCACTGTTGCCCAGACTGGAGTGCAGTGGCCGCTCCCGGCCACCACAGCCTCGACCTGCTGGGCTCCGGCGATCCTTCCGCTTCAGCCTTCCAAGTAGCTGGAACTACAGGCATGCGCTACCACACCTGGCTAATTTTTTGATTTATTGTGGAGATGAGGTCTCGCTAAGTTGCCCAGGCAGGTCTCAAACCCCGCGGGCTCAGGCAATCCACTCACCTTGGCCTCCCAAAACACGGGATTACAGGCTGAGCCACCGAGCCCGGCTGGAGCCCACATTTCTACATGGGAAACACCAGCTTGAGCTAAGCAGAGAAGCTGCCTCCTAAAGAGGGCCTCATACATCCTGCCAAAACTTTGGCTTGGACGACAGGGGAGACAGGCTGCCAGTCACACAAACGGGGAACACAGAAGTAGGAATGCGAACTGTGGGATGGCTGAGATGGCACGTGCAGTTTCAGGCTGGCTGGGTGTGAGGGCCTCTGGATGGTCCAAGCAGAAATGCACAGCCGGCAGTTGGGTACGAAGGCTTGGATCTTACTGGGGCTCAGCTTAAAAACTCAGAGTCACATCTTGAAGAGGGTAGTTGGAGCCAGGACAGTGTTGAAGACACGCTGAGGAAAGCAGAGGATCGGAAGAAAAAAGGGCCCAGGATCCACCCCTGAGGAATACACATTTAGCAGGGAGAGGAAGAGGGCCTGAGGAACATGGAGAAGGGGAGTCAGATGGGCAGGAAGAGGCCCCCAACTAAACTGCCGTTTTGTCCTGCTATTCCTCCAGACCATGAGCTCCTGGAGGGCAAGGGCTGTGCCTTGTCTCTGTATTCCTCTGCCTGCTGTTGTCGTGTTCAATGATAATCTTAGTTTTTGATGTTGCCTTCAAAACAGTATTTCAAGCACCCAATTTGATCAACTTCTCTGCATTGTGTGTTGGGTCTCGGCCGGTTCCCGAACCATAGCTGTGACCTTCACTTGATTTTCGTCAGCATTGGAGGTGACCTCACCGATGCCGGGAGCTAATCAAACCTGCCCATGTGGAGACCGCGGCGCTTAGCCCAGTGCAAGTGGATGGAACTTCCATTACATTTTTAACGATCTCCTGAGGAAGAGGAGATTCCCTCCGTCAGCCATTCCAACAGTTAACTACTCTTATCTGCCTTATGTTTAGGCAGCTAAATGTTGAGAAGCAATTTCTCCACACATCCCCATAGAGTTGTACAGTTTCTGTTCACAGTGGGAGAAATATGCTTCGTATTACTCTTTCTCTGCCAAATTACGGTAGACCCCCACTGGAATGACACAGCTTGTTATTATAGAGATCTGGAGCTATGATACCCTGGGTAGCTGCATAGACCAGGCTGCTAGGCGGATAAGAAAACCAATAAAAGGGATTGCGTTCCTCTTTGGCTCCTCAAAACCACAGGATGGGTCACCCCACGTGACCTTCCTTCCCTGGGTGGGCTGTCGGGTCCTGCAGTCGTGTGTGGGTGGACACTATTCTGATGAATTTAGGTCATTTTTTTTTTTGGTTGGAGTCTCACTCTGTCACCCAGGCTGGTGTGCTGTGGTACACTCACGGCCACCCCAGCCTCGACCTGCTAGGCTCCAGCGATCCTTCCGCCTCAGCCTTCCAAGTAGCCGGAACGACAGGTGCGCACTACCATGCCCGGCTAATTTTTTATTCATTGTAGAGACGAGGTCTTACCAAGTTGCCTGGGCTGGTCTCAAACCTGTGGGCTCAGACAATCCACTCGC